CATGGACGTTCCCAGGCGACTGCAGCTGTTGTCAACTGTTCCCAAGTGATCGTCCTCAGAGCTGCCGTGAGCGACCAGGAGAACACGGCTGTCCTGAGAGGATTTTGGGAGCTTGAGAGTATGGGAGTTGTGGACGCAGAGGTCCAGGATCACTCCGATAGCGACATCATGCAGCGCTTTGAGAGAAGCATCACCAAATCTGGTCGAAGATACGAAGTGAGCCTCCCTTGGAAACTTGATGTAAAGCTTGATTGCAACCGAGAGATGGCTTGGAAGAGACTCGAAAGCCAACGAAAGAGGCTAAGCAAGAATCCTGAGCTCATGCAGAGATATGATCAGGCAGTCCGGCTTTACGTCGAGAACGGAATGGCTGAGAGGGTCGAGAGAGACGATAACTCGAATGAACGGGTGTACTACATGCCCCATCAGGCTGTTCTGCGAGAAGACAGCAGTACGACGAAGATGAGAATCGTTTTCGACGCGTCTTCGCACGGACCGAACTGCAAGTCACTAAACGACAACCTGGAGAGCGGTCCGAACCTGAACCCAGACCTTGTTAGCCTGCTTCTCAACTTCAGGCAACACCCGGTGGCACTGGTTGCTGACGTCGAAAAGGCCTTCCTTTAAATTGAAGTAAACCCGGAGGATCGCAATGCTCTGCGGTTCCTCTGGTACAAAGAAATTCCTCAACCGAACCAAACAACTCCGGAGGTGGAAGTCTGGCGTATGACGAGGGTCATTTTCGGAGCCACGTCCAGCCCCTTTCTGTTGGCCGCGACCCTACGACATCATTTCAGAGAAATGGAGAGCGTATTCCCCAAGACAGCAGAGCGACTGGGTAGATCGGTCTACGTTGACGACCTCTTAACTGGCGCGGAAAGTGAAGAGGACGCCGGGACATTCTGTACGAGGCGATCGAGATATTTGGAGCAGCGGGGATGAAGCTCCATAAGTGGGGCTTCAATAGCGCAGCCCTGTCGAAAATGCTTGAAGACAAGGGTCCCGATGAGAGACCATTGGGACAACAGACGGGTGTGTTGAAGGTACTCGGTCTGACGTGGAAGCCGAATGAAGACAGCCTTTCCTTTTCGGCAGAACACGTGATTGAATTTGCCCGCCAACGAAGAAACACCAAGCGTTTCGTGCTCCAGACGACAGCACGACTGTATGACCCCCTTGGTTTCCTTTCCCCCTTCGTGGTGCGAGCCAAGATCTTGTTTCAGGAAATCTGGAAGCTGAACCTGCGCTGGGACGATACACTGCCGGAAGAACTGATGAGTGGCTGGAACAACTGGTGCGACGAGCTCACCACACTTCAGCAAATTAACGTGCCCAGATTCTACGACAGCGAGCTGAAGGGCAACGTTGTACATCGAACGTTGCACGTATTCTCGGATGCCAGCACCTCCGCATACGGATCGATGATCTTCATCTGCTCGACGGATGCCACCGGAGAAACTACCGCGACACTCTTACTGGCTAAGTGCCGCGTGTCGCCCCTGAAGGAAATCTGCCTTGCTAGATTAGAGCTCATGGCATGCTTGATCGGATCGAGGCTGTTTAAGTACGTAAGGACACACCTCGAAATCAAAGTGGATGAAGTCCACTTCTGGACGGATTCTATGATCGCTCTGCATTGGATTAGGGGAGAGCCATCCAGGTGGAAGACGTTCGTGAAAAATAGAGTACAAGAAATTCAAGCAAACAACGAGAAGGCAATGTGGCACCACTGCCCGGGGAAAGAAAATCCTGCCGACCTGATGACACGAGGGCTGTCCGCGGGTCGACTGCTGTCTGCACCGCTCTGGTGGAACGGACCAACTTGGTTGCTACTGCCCCCGACAGAGTGGCCTGGGGAAAGTGACGAGGAGCTTTCCCACGACGGGCTCGAGGAGAGGACTCCAAGAGCAGAGCTCTTCGAGGTAACTGCAACTGTACCGGAAGAGTTGCTGGACATCTCAAGGTTCAGCTCGGCCTTGAAACTCCACAGAACAACGGCCTGGATTTTACGGTTCATCTATAACCTCAGATCGTCAGAAAAAAGGATGGGACCACTGACCGCCGAGGAGATCCACGTAGCGCAAACACACTGGATAACGAGAGCACAAAAATCAGCGTTTGCCTCCGATATTGATTGTGCAGCAAAGAGAATGTCGCCCCCACCTGGGTCGCTCTTGCGTGACTTTCGCACTTTCATCGATGAAGAGGGATTGCTGAGGATCAGCGGTCGACTCCAGTCATCGAACCTGACGCAAGAAGAACGCCACCCCATTGTACTGCCTAAGGAGCATCGATACTCAACGTTGCTGACCATCGACGCCCATCGCCAGGTACTGCACGCGGGAGCCAGGGACACTCTCGTGCAGCTGCGCGAGAAGTACTGGATCCTCCGCGGAAGACAGCTGGTAAAGAAAGTGGTGCGTGCGTGTGTGACCTGCCAGCGATTCAACGCGACTCCTGCAAGTGCTCCAACGGGACCCTTGCCGGCGGATCGTACAACGCGAGCGGACCCGTTTGAAGTAGTGGGCACAGACTTTGCGGGACCCCTGTATGTTAAGGCGAACGACCTCACCAGCAAATGTTACGTCTTGTTGTTTACATGTGCGGTTACCCGAGCGGTACATTTAGAGTTAGTGACAGACATGTCGACAAAGAGCTTTCTGTATGCCTTTCGCAGATGTGTGTCGCGGAGAGGGGTATGCCGCGTCATTTATTCGGATAACGCTTTGACATTTAAACGGGCCTCAAAAGAACTAAGGGAACTGTGGAAGACACTCCGACACCCTGATGTGATTCAGCATTTTGCCAATGCTGGCATAGAGTGGCGATTTATTGTCGAACGAGCGCCATGGTGGGGAGGTTTTTATGAGAGGCTCGTGCGCTCAGTAAAGGTGTCATCGAGGAAGGTGATCGGAAAGAAATGCCTGGGCGAAGATGAATTGGCCACGGTTCTCACCGAAATTGAAGCCGTGGTGAATTGGAGGCCATTGACCTTTGTATACAACGAGATGGGAGAGGGCGACCCTCTCACGCCTGCGAGCTTTCTAATCGGTAGACGGCTGACGGCGCTGCCAGCGGCCGGGGGAGAGCCGCTCGCTTCGACACCGGAGACACTTCGCGGTCTGTGGCGAAAGCGAAAACGGATCCTAAATTTACGTGGGGGACGTGGGGGGCGGAGTACCTCCGAGAACTGAGGTCTGCTTACGCTAGTCACCGAAAGCAGTCCCCTCCGCCCCGAGTGGGCCAGTTGATCCCTTTGAAAGAGCCACTTCCACGACTGCTTTGGAAGCTTGGAAAGGTTGAGAAGGTATTTCATGGACGCGATGCAAGGGTTCGTTCATGCGAGATTCGCGTACATCGCGGTACAGTATTGCGAAGGCCAGTGCAACTAATCTACCCCTTAGAAATGACGGAACTCTAGAATGTGCTCGCGCCCATTCGGTGGGGAGTGTGTTGGAACTTTCGCGAGGACGGCATCGGATTCCCTCTGCGGAGAGGATGCACGCGAGGAGCGAGCTGAACCTCGCACCACTGCTTGTCTCGGCGGAGACGATTTATGATCGCGCGCGGGCAGCGAGATGTAAACTTCGTACCCGCAGCGGCCGGATGCAGCCGGGAAGATCAACAGCTGGGAAAGTGGAGACGGACAGAACGAAAGCTGGAACGCTACGGATCGGAGAACGAGAAAGTGGCTCGTCTGTTTTGAACGTGTGTAGTGTGTAGTTTAAAATAAAAGTGTTGAGATTTGTTGAGACTGATCGATATCTCGGAACGCCAAGAAGCAACAATTCCCTCAACACATAGTGCATGCAAAACAAAGGATGTCCACGTAGTAACCCCTTAGCTTAGTTTTAGAGCGCAGCTCTTAGGGGCCCGTTTCCGGCTTGAGCGGCGTCGGCGTCGGCGTCGGCGTAACCGCGCGGTGCATCATGGGAAATGTCCCATTATGCACCGCGCGAGCCCCCCACCGGGGTCACGTGACTTCGTGGGGGGCACGTGACCCTCCCCCAAGGTCACGTGACCCCCCGAGGTCACGTGACTCCCCTGAGGTCACGTGACCCCCTCCTCGAGGTCACGTGACCCCCGCCGATGTCGCGTGACCCCCCGATGACGTCATCGACACTGATGACGTCACCGGCAACCACATCGTCATCGTCATCATCACTGATGACGTCATCATCAGTGATGATGACGATGACGATGCGGATGCCGGTGACGTCATCATTGATGATGACGATGACGATGTGGATGCCGGTGACGGCATCAGTGATGATGACGATGACGATGTGAATGCCGGTGACGTCATGAGTGATGATGACGTCATCAATGATGATGACGTCATCAGTGACGATGACGATGTGGATGCCGGTGACGTCATCAGTGATGATGACGTCATCAGTGATGATGGCGATGACGATGCGGATGCCGGTGACGTCATCAGTGATGATGATGACGATGTGGATGCCGGTGACGTCATCAGTGATGATGACGATGATGATGTGGATGCCGGTGACGTCATCAGTGATGATGACGATGACGATGTGGATGCCGGTGACGTTACCGACATCCGCATCGTCATCATCACTGATGACGTCATCAGTGACGTCACTTATGTCGTCACCGGCATCCGCATCGTCATCGTCATCATCACTGATGACGTCGTCAGCGACGTCACTGATGACGTCACCGACATTCGCATCGTCATCATCACTGGTGAAGTCATCAGTGACGTCACTAATGACGTCATCGGTACCCGCATCGTCATCGTCACTGATGACATCATCAGTGACGTCAGTGATGACATCATCGGCGTTGGGGGTCACGTGACCCCCCAAGGTTACGTGACCCCCCCCCCCCTGGTTAGTCTGACCCCCCCCCCAGCGCCCTTCCCTCCTCCTCCTCAAGAGCTGCGCTCAAATTCGGCGTTACAGGGAGTTGTAAGCGGCTTTCACTTTTTCTGTTGTTGTTTTGTTTTTTTTTTCGCAAGAAAATGTACCAACCTGGCGGGCTAATCTGGAAGCGACGTAGCTCGCAAATGTTATTCTTGGCGTCCTTTCATCCTTTGCCTGAAAACAAAAAACAGACAAATACAAATGAGCGGGAAATCTCGATCAACATTACACTCTTCTTTTACGAGAGTGGAATACCGAATGAAGGGAATCCGCGATGCCCTGCTGCAGGAAAATTTTTAACCGAAAGATGCATCCATTGAGGCGAATGATGCTTAGAATTTGTTTATTTGTATTTAAAAAATATATATTCTCACCACTGCCGAAAAATACGTAAGCCATGGATTACGCCTGAGTTGCATAAAAAATATAGTTAGAAACAAGCTATTCTGTTGCGTTTTCAATGCTTTTCAATGCTCGTGCACCTGATGTCCTGACAATCTTTAAACAGTACCGAAGCAAGCTGAGAAAAAAACTACGATCTTCGCGCACCGAACACCACTTCTCTTGTTTAAAGGATAAGAAAAGCCGACAGGAAGTGTAATGATCCAGTTTGAACGAACTCTTACATCATGGTACCCCGCATGCACCTTTCTCAGAACTTTAAGTAAATGGGAAGGAATTGTTTGGCGCCGAATTGGCTGATGCATTTAACGATTTCTTTAAAAACAGTACTACATGTGGCTACTCTTCAGCTGCTTGAGTATATGTGCGCATTCGAAATGATAACTAAATGTTTCTGTAACCGGCCACCGTGCATGAAGTATTATCAGTAACACAAGACCTAAGTAATCGCACTAGCTGTGATAATGAAGACTACCAGATATGACCTCTGAAGCATGTAGTTGATTTTATTGCGTGTATTTCCACTGATTTATTTAACACCTGTTTAGTTACAGTACTTTTTTGTTTCAAATGCATGTAGCAACAATTACATTACTTTACAAAAAGGGGTATTAAAATTATCTGGTAAATTAAAGCCGAATTCCTGTACTGCCAGTATTTTCAAGGGATTTAAAAAAGGAACAAGCCAGATACTTAGATTTATTAGTACGAGTAACTTGTTGACGCCACACCCATTCATTTTTTTTTGTAAAAAAAATTAAGCAAATTAGCTTTAAGCAGAAAACTTACAATATCCTTACATAATTTGAAAACAAATTTAAGATTTCTTGGTTATTCGTCAGTTTTCAGACTTTTCACTCAGTGAATTATAATATTTTTCCAGAAAGCTTTAATTACGGTGGTATACCTAGACCGGTCCTAATGCTTTCAAAATCATGTTTTCTTCGCCAAAAAAATGGTAGAAAAATAATATGGTCTCAAAGGCTTAATCTGCGTTTTGTGGTGTGTCACAGGGTAGTGTCTTGTGGTCACTACTCTTTAAATTTATCTTAACAATATGCTAAAAATTAGCTCTATACTCCGTTCCACCTTCAGTCTGAGCGCCGTGGACGCCACAGGCCATCCCAGCCGATCCAGCGCCGGGAGAAAATCGCGTGACCTGCCGGTTGGGCAGAGGGTCACAGGGAGCTCAAGGTCACATGACACTCTCTCCACGCTGGATTGGCTGGGATTACTCCTAGCGTCCGCTGCGCTCGGGCTGAAGGTGAAACGGAGTATAGTGCCTAATTTTTCTTATATACGGATAATACTTAAATATTTTTTGGTCGTCACATTCATGAGTTTATAGATAAATGTTAGGATGTAACAAAAACACTAGATATGTGCTCAGTCTTTCATTCTACGCATTTAAAGTAAACAGAAAACAGTTATATTGCAATAAAAAGAAAACAAGTCCATACCCACACGTCAAGACATCAGCCTAAATTCACGTCGTACAGAAGATGGAGATTATTGTAAGTGTCTTGTCAAAAGTTTTGCCGACATGTTGTGAAAGAATTATGTAAACCACATATATTAACCAAAAACCTCAAATTACTGGTCTAGTTCGTCGTATCAGATACTTTGTTTTCGCACGAATTAAGTATCTTCTTTATATTTTACTTTTTTACTCAAATTTAAAATATTGCTAACTAGTGTGGGGCAACACTATTTTCATAAATATGGTGTGTTCATTTAATACGAACAAATATATATTCGGCATGTTTATAACGTTTCGTATGATGCTCCAAGTAAAATATATGTTTAACGTTCCGGTGTTGCCAGAGCCTACAACCTATATAAATATTGCTTGAGTGTCCGCTATAAGTCAGATCCAGAAATAAATGTAAATATTATTCGTATTATGGCCCAATTGCAAATAAAAAGGTTTAGTTGCTCTACAAGACATAGAGAAAACTGGATAGTCCCTTCAACTCGACTGAACTCAGTAGAACGGTACCTGAGTTACTCATTGCCATCTCTAATATTAAATAGCTATTTTCTTGTGAATTTTGACTTATAACTTGCAACTACAATTAGCTTCACGCAGTGTACAAAAGCATGTTGACATATCTGTTTAAATGCAATTTTGTGCAAGTGAGATGTAACAAATATGATATTGTTGAATTCTCTTTTTTTTTCTTGTGTTCAGTTTCCCATAGATTTGATCTTAATGTGGACCAAAGTCACTTTGGTCTACTGCTTGGTTGGCGATTTTATTGTTTTTTTTTTCTTATGGAAGTTCATGTATTATTGAATAATTTATGGTGTTCTTTTTTTTTTCTCGCCACCTGAGGGGTATTGGGGACCAGTCAAGCTGCTCAGACAACATTTTTTCTGCAGCTCCCACAATACTTAGGTGGTAAGTAAAGCTAGTATTGTTATTATTAGAATTATTGTATGTGCTTTAACTTCTCGCTTAACCATGCACATGCACCTTAATTTCAATCCAAACAAACTTATCCACATTACAAAAATATCAAGAAGAAAGTATTTTACAAAAAAAATGTGCAAGAACGCATAAATGCAGAGTCAGTATCGTATAAAAATGTATAACCTCACACTGTAGCGTAATTCTTGCGGTTTAACGTTATGCCGATTTATTCCTCGAATGTGTAAAGGCTTGTATAAAGCGGTGCATAGCTTCTGACTAAATTGCAAATAAGAAGCTAATCTATATTGTCGTAATAAGTCTTAGATAATGAAGTCCTCAGTCATTACAGAATGCGGTTCTCACTGAACATTGTTGCGCTTCATGTAGATAACGATAAACATGGTGACCATGGAGCGAGGGGACAGTAAAGGACAGACTGACACGAAACTCTCGAGCTTCGTGTCTTTCCGTCCCTTTTTGTCCCTTCGCTACAGGGTTAACATGTCAATCCTTAACCAACTCGCCCCCCTACTTGCTTTAGTGTCAGATAACGATAGTTGTCAATTATTATAAGATGTAAGTGGGTACAGCTATCTTCGAGGTGCGCCTGAGTGTGATCGGGTACAACGGACAAAGTCACATGCAAACGGAAATAAGTGAATCAGCCATCAGAGCCCGACAAATTCAATATCTTAGGGTCGCTAAAGTTGAAGCCTGGGCGAGTTGGGTATTTAGGTATTGGCTCGGGTATTTAGAGGTGGTGCCGTCGGTAAAAATACGGCTCACGGCAAACCGACTACTACACTCCGAGACGGGTTAAAGGGGCACTAAAGAGAAACCTGTAATTGTCCGCTTTTATCACAACTAATCTACGGGCCCAAAGCATCCTAAAAAACCAAAAATACTACCACGCGACGCCGATTTTACATTAAAAAAGTAATGTAAGGTCAGGACACACCTCTTCCTGAGCGCATTTTTCCGCCCAGGAAAGGCGCGGCATACCCCAGCAGCGGTGTCAGCGCGGTGATGATGGAGGCTCGTCAGCCAATAGCAAGCGCCTCTCTGAGACAGGAGAACGCCGAGCGGTCGCGGCCTGCGGTGGATTGGTTTTTGCGTTTTTCGAGTTGGTGGCGTCGGTACGGTCCGATTTCGTGGACCACGTTGGGACTCGGTAGCACAACAGGACGCAGACGAAGGAGAACTAGGTGATCGGGTCAATCGGGTGATCTCGGTGGGAAGAGGCGACGCGCTCCCCACGAAGGAGACGACGGGAAACTAGGGGACTTCACACCGCTGCCGCAGGCGAGGTAAAAAGAAACATCGTTCGCATCACAGAAAAAACATCACAAGGATCTCACATGGCTGTCAAAATACAACCCCAAACATAACCGAAAAGTGCTATACGAATAAGGCTCCCTATCTGTATAATATGTAGTTGTTTTTTATTCGTCGGATTTTCCCAAGCAATCAGGGCCAGGCAGTTGCCGCCTAAGCAAAAACAGTCCGCGTCTATATCTATTGTCCCATGTTTAATAGGCAGCATGGGTATTTAGAACTTAATGTATTTATTAACCGACACCGTACTGAATCGTATAACTACAAAAGCAAGGTTCGTCAAACAGATCTTTAGATCGCCTGTAGAGAATTATCTGCATAAACAGATAATCCTCGAACAACGCACACACGTCACAAACAAACTATCACGAAACACTAAAAAGAGCACACTTTGGTTAGATGGGACAACAAAGGGGAGTAAGCAGCACCTCGGAGAGAAGTTCAAAATACTTGAAGTTTTTCGTCATCTACCAGAGGGTAACGAAGAGGACAGGTTGGCCATGACTGCAGGGGCTTCGTGCCGCGCTCCTATAGACACCTTTTGTTGTTTGCAAACGTGAACCGCTGCTTACATCCCAAGCGATTTCCGGTCGCTTCGTCTTTGCTAGCCTGTCAAGCTTGCGTGTGTCACCAGTGATAGAAAGCATAAATGCTACACGGACAACGCAGTTGGAGTTTTAACGAGGGCTATCGGCTGTACAATTTAACGTGACGGATGAGGCAAGTCGGTTTAAAATACTATTCAAAAGAAATTAACTTATATCGCGCTTCTAGGTTCGTCTTGTGTCCATCTGGAAAATTGGTGGTTAAATGTTGTTTATTCTTCGAAACAACCCTCTATCTGTGGTCGCCTTATTTTTTCATGACGCGCTCCAGCCAATGGAAGCCTATTATCGGATTTCAGCTTCCAGAGAACAGGCTTCGCTCCATCGGGACAGGGGAAGGTGCTGTTTGGCGCAGCTTCAAAGCTGATGACGTCGGTTCGCTCCATGGGACCAGTTCATGCTTTCGCGTTAAAAGTAAGCGCGTTCAGGCTCGGTTGGTCTCTGAAGAAGTACTCCCCACGGCGCAGAATCGAATCGCCCATAGCGCGCGCAGAGCCCCCACCCGCCGTTGTCTTAACAACGCGCACTCAATGGGTCTTTCATATTGCAGGAGACGTTCGTTTGACGCCGACGGGCGTGTTATAACTTATTATGTTTAATTTAGATTGGGGGGGGGGGGGGGGATCAACGCCTCCGCGCGATTATACTGTATGCGCAAGAACAACCTACGTTCTCGAATTCTTTATTTCGTTCGTTGGACGCCTTTTTTTCTCTTACGGCAGCCGAGTTTTGTCTTGAGGACTTTAACTGCGTCGTCGATTCTGATGCATATGTACACGGGCGTGGGCGGGACCGATCTACATGGAACGCTAGGGTATGCCTGGCAGGTTTTGCCATTATTTTCTTTGGATATATGTGGTGTGGTCGCGGTACTTCTAGCCGCGCTGACACTGTTTCTTTTCCCGCCGATTTTCCTTTCACGGTATCCCGATCCGAGATCCTGCCTCTCCCGCCGGGCGCACTGTACGTTACGGATCACAGTACACTCGCTGTTACACCGTCGGTTCCAGAGTTTCAGTCTGGACGTAGCCACTTGTGGTGCCTAGACGTGAGCCTCCTGCGCAAAACCGCGGCTGTAACTGAGCGGCGCGAAAAGTGACCCCACTGACCCTTACCGCCGCCCAACGGGACGGCTTGAAAGCAGCTTGGCAGTTCATGCTGGCTCTGGCCGAAAAGTGCCGAAAGGTAAAGCAGACTGCGCTGCTGAACGACGTCATCAGGCACTTGCGCATTGTGCAACTCGGAGGGGCGGGAACCATGATTATGCAGGAGTACCTGGAAGTGCTGCGAGTGCGGTACAGCCGCTTGCTCCGGTACAACTCGCGAACAGCCAGTGCCCAGTTCTTGAGAGGTAGGCCCGTGTCTGACCCGGAAGTGTTGTGTTACCTTCGTGTGTCCGCAATATAGGCGGGGCCTTGGGAGGGATACCGTGTGTTGCTTCGACAGACGGCCGCGAGTCCTCTCGGCGGGGAGGACATCGAGAACGTTTTGAAAACATTTTTTGTCTTTATACTTCCACGCAAAACGGTGACTCCTGTTGTCTTGCTTCTGGTGTACAACAGTTTTGTGGAGATCTGCCCGGAGTCCCAGCTGAAGTGAATGAAAGGATTTCGCGCCCAGCTTCGGGCGTGGAAGTCTCCGAAGCCTTGCATTCCATGAAAACCGGTGCCGCATTAGGTCCTGATGGTTCACCCACTGAATTTTATTACGGATATTATAATGTACTGGGTGAGGTTCTTGGTAATGTTATTATTACTTTCTGAATAACCGAGTACGTGCCTGATTTTTTTAACTAAATAGAGTGACCTGCTCCCTAAGAACGTGGAAGCGTTATCCGAGCCTTGTGTCTGCCGTCCCATTTGCATTACTCAACGCCCTTTACGAGATTATTGCAACAGTTTTAGTTAGATGATTGCACAACTTTTCTGCCTTTGATAGTTTGCCCCTTTCAGGCTTGCAGTGTTCCAGGACGTACCAGTGTATCTTCTTTAGCACTGACACGTGACTTTTCGCGTATGCTACGTTCGGCTGTTGAGTGGCGCCTTCAAATCTCTTGATCAAGCAAAGGCCTTGGATCAGGAAGAACATCGTTTTCAGTTTTAGCGGCATTCGCATTTTTTCGCTCATTTATAGATTTGCCTTAGAGTTTATACACGGGTCTGCCTAGCGAACCTATTGTTAACGGTCGTCCGACGGCCGCTTTCTCAGTTACGATAGAGGTATGACAGGGCTGCAGTTTGCCTCCTTTGCTTTTTGCAAATAGTATTGACCTGTTGTTAGGTAAAATACACAAGAGTGAGCTCGTCCATGGGTTTCCGTTTTCCGGACGGGGCACAGTGTCTGTCTTTGCCAATGCGGATGACGCGTCTTTGTTTCTGCGTAACTCTGACCGCTTTTTGGTAGTCCAGCGTATTTCTGCGGGCTACGCCGTACTTTCTGGTGCGTAGTTGAATCGGGAGAAAAGTAAGGCGCTGCTGTTTTGATTATTTTCGATGGATTCTATTAGTATTCTCCTTGCTTAAACTGTACGTGTTCTTGGGGTACCTTTTCCAGAAATTCCGTAGCATCCCTGGCCTGGGAAAAAATCTTCGACCAGGCAGGAAGTCCAAGTGCAGCACGCTTCTGTGTTTTAACTTCCCTTTAAAGATAAAACGCTTTTAATAAAGAGTTTAATGTGCTCTGAGCTATGGTTTATGGCAAAGATCGCACTCTTATCACCCGTTTTGAAGCGTAGATTGACATCTATCATCTCCTCACTTTTGGGGGGACGGGAAAACGGAACTTGTCACCAGGCCGACACTGCGCCTACTGTTGAAAAACTAACAATGAACACCACTGACATGAGACATTCAGTCTGGAGCTAAAAGAAGACGACGGGGATGGGGAATCACGAGCGGGAGCGAACGAGCATTCGGATAAACCGTTTAACACAAGCCGGTTGTGCTGTTATTCTTTCTCGACCTCAATGTCCTCAACGAGTACCTAGCGAAAGAGCGCCTCAAAGCGCAAAACCTACCACGAACCAGTGGTGGCTTGAGCACTCCGTGCCTGCCAACGTTTACGCGGTTATTGCCTTTAAAATGTGTGCTCAATCTTTTAAACGACACAGAGTCTGTTCGTCGACCTCTTGTATGGTATTGGTTGGCTCACCTTCGGCAAACTCTCGTGCCCAGGGGGCTTGGCAACCTGTGCTCTGAGGCACAGACTCCCTCCCTGTAGTATGTTTCTGTCGTCGCGATACAGCGTCGCGTGACTGAAGAATTGCCCACTGCGCGCATTCAGGAGAGTCCCGAGTCGCGAATGGGCGAAGCGCTTTGTGTAGCTGACGTGCCTGTATGACACCAAGCCCGAAGTTTCTATGCAGTTTGGGATGGCATGTTAAACGCATACGCATCACCGTACGCTGCCGACAGTGGCTGGAAGTATCGGTAAGAAATGCTGCCAGGCAGGGACAAGTTGTCACATCGGGACATTATCTTGACAGACACCTTCCCTAATGTACTTACCCAAAGACCAACGAGCATGTTTTCACCATTTGTGTAAGTGCGGGCACACTGTGCGGGCACACTTAAGTGTTTGGCTTGCCCGTCCCTTCCCAAAGGCGTACGCGCAATCGCTTTGAGAAACTGCTAAGAATACTAGCACACCAAGTCTTGTGGAAATGTAGATATAGGGCCGAAATTCAGCGTCCCCGTTTCACACCCATGTTCCCCGGGCTTTTAAAATTGCGCGAGACGATAGCGGACCACTTAAAGATCAAACAGTGGACACTTGGAGAGCATAATTTCCTGCGACGATGACGTTCGCGGTTTTTCGTAGTGAGTAAGAGCAGGGTCATACTGCTACCCACATCCGTGTTCTTGATAAGTGCAAGGTATGCGGTCTCTGGATGTTGCCTGCGTGCAACTCAATTTGTAAAAATGTAAACACACTTTTGTTCATAAACTGGAAATTTTGTGCGACGTCAAAGACTGAAGCACAGTGTGGCTGCTTTTGCCATGAAAAGGATCTGTATTACGGTGCCTAGAACGCATCTTTGACTGGTGTGTTTAGCGTCCGATCCAGCCGATATGACAAAGGCTGTCCCGAAGTGGCAACAAATGACTCCCCAGGAGTCGGCAGGTCGTGTTGTCGGGTGTCCCGATTTTGGCGTTTGGGGCCAGAAGTTCCGGCAAAATGTACTAGCGGACTCGAGTGCCGCTTTCGTCGCGACGTCCCAAGTCCTGGCTACAAAATCTGGAGAGCGACCAGCAGCAGAAAAGGCATCTGCCAGTTCCACCAACGCTGGTGTGGCCCTGCCAGGATCGTGGCTGGCGACAACGTAATACATCTAGACGTCATGGTGCGAAAATCGGGGGATCACACTTTAGGATGCGGTAAACACATTGTCGAAGTCGCGTTCCACGCACCGTACATACACTTTTTTTTTGTTAGGGTTGATGGTTATGGTATATACCGGTTTTACCTTTATGACTAATTATAACGTCAAAGTGAATTTGTTTTAAATATATTTGCTCGCCGACGTAGAACAAAGAGTATTGAAGTACTTCTTTCTCAAGTTTGTATTTAAGTAAAAACAAAACAGAAGACCCTAGGTAAGATGTTTCAATTCAGATGATACTGATTAAAAAACGCCTGAATGAGGACATCAACGCTCTTTTGTTTACAGGAAAGCTCAGGCTAGAGTTTTTACGTTAGTATGACTAAGCTTATAACTTTGATGCATAAATACTATTTATATTTTCATATATGAATGTAATGGATGCAAAGCATTAAACTGTTGATATCGATATTAAAATGACAAATACAAAATAATGTAAAATACATATTAACGCTCAAAATATATTAATCAGAGCAAAAGTTTGTTGATCAAGACAGTCAGAGATCACCTTTCGATTTGCTCTTTGAAGACACTTCGCCGCCTCCAAGTAATTTTTCGCCATGATTCCTGACCAAACGTACACATTGCCTGGAACACCTGAATTAGTAGTTGATATATCTGAAATTTATTTTCAAGACAGACTTTAATAAGATTAACTGAAATCAATCAAGCGGAATTCATAAAAGACACCATTTTTAAACAAGAAATAGATTGTAGAGCACTGCAATGTCAAGCGTAAATTAGAGTCACTAACCCAAGCATGCAAGTCGGGCCCTCATAAATGAAGAGCTCAATAAAACTGATACAAGAGGCAAGCGGAAAATCTATCTGCGTCATACGTAAATTGTTATACAGGTGAATTGAAAAAGTTTTGACTTGCATAATATTTTTGCCCAAAAAGAACATTGTCCACTTCTCGTTATATTTTGCTTTTACCTCATCCTGGTGACGTTGTGTCTCACCGATATCCCATTGTTTGCACTTATAACCTGTCCTATAACTCGGTTAGTTGAAACTATTTCTGTAGTCTGTTTTTTCACATACTATTTTTTCACTCTACATTATTTTTCACGTTTGTCGGTAGCTTTTTTCACGGGTTCTTGTAAACTTATATAATGAAGGCTAAACTTCCGAAGTGTCCCGCGAACTTGCTATATTAAAATATTGAAGTAAATTCCTTGAAATTATATACAAACGATTTACTAAGATCAAGTCGTTTCACATTATTCAATCTCAGATCGCATATCTAGAGCTTTATAGTTTAGGAACTAAAGAATAATATGTGGATAGATACATCCTGCATCTAGGTGACATGGACATGGCTCTACCCTTCTTTCTTTGCTTGATGTACTCAGTAGTTTAGACTAACAGCCTGGTTTTTAGCCTTTTAGTAGTAAGCACTTGCAGTGGCATAAAATTGCAGCTGCAGTGCTTGTTCAGAAACGACATGATCACTGTTAACATTATGTGACTTTTCAATTCGGGTTATAAGAGTGTACATTCTGCTTTTCTGGATGATACCTTTTCTTATGGTTCACCTTTTTGCTTGGATCGACACTTGTATAAAATGCGCAATCTTCTAACTCAGTCAGAAATCGCCGGCTGACATTCGTTTCCTTCACATCAATGTTCTTAAACTTCTCACATGCTTATGCAGCTTTAGAGTCGTAAACCTTTTTCCTTGCTTCCTATGGGATCTTCGACGGCGATGACTTCTTGCCTATATTAAACCCCGCTTCATTAGGGTTCGACACTAGCCTTTCTCTTCGGTATTTTGTAAGTGGCTTGGGTCAGTCTAGTTTAATCTGAAAGTGGCTTTCCGTATTCATGATCGCAGTAGTTTTCGAATCAGGAAGGTGCTTTTTTTTTTTTTTTTGCAGCAAATTATTACGAGCAAAAGGCAATTTTTATTTATTACCTGCCCTTTTTTCAAATTATCGCTGCCTCTAGCTTTCTTTTTTTCAACAATAAACAAAAAACGGCGCACATTTCGGAACGCAGTTAACTTTAACGCGACAACGAAAGCGTGTTTTAGTTTAGTAGTAAAGAATAGATTTGCACAACGAGGCACCAACCAAGGCTGCCACGTCATGTCAGTAGCCGATAGTTTCATTTTAATTTTGCAAAAAAATAACGCACCAGAGATCTCATGTCTACATATTTGTTTCATGTTTTGAAGTACATTGATGCGGCAGACGCTTAACGGCTTTCATTCTCACCCAGATGTACGTTTAGAGGAATGGTGATAGCAGCTCTAGGTAACCCCTCTTGTAACTATGATTCATGTTTGAGTAAAACTATTTGACGTGTTTCTCACCAGGTTATGCTTAAATTCCTTGTTTTTCTCTGCGCAAGGTTCAAGTCCTGCCACTATGATTGTAAATTAAACATGACACTGCCGTCTCCAGCGCCAGCTTGGGTTTAATACTTTTGATTTCGATTACATAAGTAGGCTTATAAGAAAAAATCAATTCCACGCACGCTTTGGCTAATTATGCGCATATAGAACATACATCTCGAAAGATTACATTAACTTCCGCACTTTAATAAATGTCCTAATTTTAAAAACATCTGAAAACACTCCACTCCGCACGAGCCATACGGTGAGGAATGTTCATTCTATTGGATTGACAGTAGATCTTGGGTACCGAAATAACAAAAGCGTAGCTGGCTTTTTGAAGGCGTAAGTCGAAGATAAATGAGACTGCTAAAACTGATTCTCGCAACCCCACCCCCTCTTCCCGTTTTTTTTTTTTTCTTTTATTAAGAGTTTATACTGTAGAACTTGCTTCAAAAAGTCCAAAACTATCTATTTGTGAGCGGATGTTTTTTTTCGGAGGCATTAATTTATTTGTTGTTTGAGTCGACGAACTGATTGAAGTCAGCAGTGCGGCAGAGTTGACCACTCCGGCCTCAACTTGCCGTTGTTTCTGGCATCCATATTGATAAGGGCGATTATTTTACTCACGATAAATTTTTTAAACGTTATTTTTTTTTGTTTGCTAATGAACTAAGTTGCAAATAAAAACATGACTTCGATACACCCTAAAACGTTCGCTGGGAAACATTAAAACAAACTCTGGAATTTTTCGTCTCCACCTTAAGACACATATGAAGCCTTGAGTGGTCTTCGACAACCAAGATTGTGCACCATTTCAAATGACCTGACACGTTTGCAGAAATTTATGTCTTAACCAGTAACACACAATACGTGATACTGAGCTCATGTACAAAGGGCATCGCTGAAATTCATGATTTCTTTGTGACGACAGAAACGTTTAGGGCCTCGTGCTCAGTCATTACTGGGTGTGACGATATGAACGGGACTTAAAAGAAGACGAGGCGGTGGAAGCGCCCACAGAGATGCGCTCGTGGCAGAGGGCGGAAGTACAGTGTAGCGGAAGGCAGTGACCCAGATCGGACGCATCGCGACACCGGTGAACCACACAACCGAGTTAAACCCAGGACAGGCGTCGAAAGGCCTGTGGAGGCTGAAACCAGGCTTGTTGGGGACCTACTGTCTGCTCGGAGTCATCGCTTTGAACAATCAACATGCCTGAATGTTGATTGTTGTTGAATGTTGAATGTTGAATGTTGCTGTGATTCCCAAGAACGAGCAGCGCCTTGTAAGCGGAACTTCTCTGTCTGACTTTATGTGGACCTGTATATAGCTCGCTGTGCTTCCTATGCTTCTTGTTCTTTCTTATATTTCTGTAAATAATATCTATCCTTTGGCACCCACTGTTCTGGAATCCCGAGTCCTCATTTCCCCCTTTTTTTCCATCACACCGGGTAATGTAAAACACCGCAAACAAGAACAGAACCAAAAAATGGCGTTTTGTTGCTCGATATTCGCAGACACAAAACTGATCTTACCCATTGTTTCGACGGTGCGAGCAATTTGGTAGGCTATTTTTGACCCAAGTCCACCATATAGATAGGATCTGTAATCAGAATTAACGTGGTCCTATATGTTTTAGCAGCACGACGTTCGGTAAGGCGGTATTTCGTAATAATGATAACTTTTGAGTATATGCCTCTATAAGAAAGCACATAATAACCGTGGGCCTTCGGGGATGATAAATATTTACAGGTGAACGACAGACCACGGCGTTCGAAATCTCGTAGCTTCTGGAATTACATCCCTGGATGACGGGGATCGGAATATGCGAGCAGTGGCTGAGCTATTTTTGGAACATGACTCACGGGCTTATTACGGGCTCGGATGAGAAGAACACCCGCTGCGCGAATCTAGTCAAGGAAGAACTACTGGCTGTTTTAAGCAAGATGGACGTACGTTTTTGGGTTCGGTGCACTGCACTTCGCCAGTACATAGAGGCATGTGGTCTTACGAACAGATATTTCGACGGCAGGTTGGTTTACATGCTTGTCACTGCTGACGATCGAAGAGGCTAAAGCCCGTTCAGACGCTTACGACACCTTAGGATCGTGTGCTTTAAAACCTCTTGAGATACCTTTCGAGGAATGAACACACTGGCATGCTGGCGCCACCTACGAGGTGACACTAGAACTGCATTTCACTAAAGCAAACGTTTTGTGGTATTTCAAAGATAAAATGTACGTTCTCTACCTATTAGAAGTAGATGTTCGGTTACAACAGTGACACAATTTTATAGAGCCATAAAATTTCATAAAAAAATGATGCGCGCAAAAATAACGAAATATAAGGAACTGCCAAATATTCCTCAGCTACGCGATAGGTGGCGCCAGTGTGTTGTCTCACAGTAAAATAGTTTAAAAGGTTTTAAGGCTCACGGTCCTAAGAAGTCGCAAGTGTGTGATTGAAGCTTCTTAAACCAATTTTAAGCTTCTTATGACTGTTACGACCATCAGCGCTACTGCGCAGCCGGTCGCGAGCAGTTGCAAATTGAATTAAACTGCTTTAGAGCAGTCTGTCGTAGCCAAACGCAATTGGCCTATCTAGCGTTTAGGTGCGAGAAAAGTAAAAGTCATGTTCCCGAGACCCGTGATTTTGGTCGTAGGTGGCCCGCAGTGCGAGCGCTGTTGAACACAAGATCCTGGCGCTTGTGGTTTCTTCTTCGCTCACACATAGTGTGAAGCTGAGTACGGGGGTAGTCTATTAAAGAGGAATCAGACTATAGAGGGTGGTTCGTCAAGCTATTTCATAGAGTTCCTCGATATGCTCCCCCCAAGGGGGACCTGGGTTGCGCATTTGTTTTCCCCGCGGCGCCATGCCGCTATTCGTCGAGGTCGTTCACGTGCGGAGCAAAACATCCAGCGCCGTTCAGGAAAGCCACCGCTACGGTCGCTCCGCCGACGTTGCACGCGCCCCGGCGTACGTTCCCCTGCTTTCGCCTCTTTCCCCTCCTTTCCTGTTTTCCATACGCGGCGGCGCGCGGAACGCCGCTATTCGCCGAATTCAGCCACGTGTAGAGCAAAGCATCCAGGGCCGTTGCAAAAAAGCCGGCGCTACGGCCACCCGCCGAGGCTGATTGCGCGAATCTGCTACCGTAGGTAGCTATATACAGGAACTCTACTATTTCACGTAGCGTTGTGATAATCCCACTCAAGGACTATGGACTGGATTCTTCACGTCATCTTCCTGCATCAAACGTAAAACACGGATTATGTACAAACTCTGTCAGCGCTCGGTTGGGGCCTCACGTTACATTCATGCTAAACTAAGTGAGCATGAGAGCCAGCCGGACGCCGACACAAAGTTCTGCTACGTCAGCCTAGCGCTGCGTCAGAAACGCAATCAAAGAATTCGTGTTGCTGTTGTCCCCGTGGGTTTAGTTTGCAAATTAGCGGCAAGAGGCGCAACGGTTGAATCTCCTCACGAATAGTGTGTCTATCTCGATGCGAGATAGAAGACGAGCACTCATTGAACCTCAAAGACGCTTGCACTGCACGAGCACGCGTGCTTGGTGGGGATGCCGAAATTTCGGAACTAGCTCATGCAGCTTCTTCAATGCTCTCATTTGAAGTGGAACGGGAAAGGAACTCTACCTTTCGTCAGTATACAAGAATACAAGTCCTCCTCGAGGGGTTGCTTTTACATTTCGGGAGAACCTGGAGCATATTGTTCCACATATCACTTGCTTTTTCGTCGTTAAAGAAGTACTACCGGGGCATACTGAATTTTGGTATTCAATTTAGACTTCTTTGCAAATCTAGCTTGACAAACAAGATGTGTGCGGGGTTTATTTGGTTGTATAAAAATAAGTGTGTCGATTACAATATATAGTGTTACAGACAACCAGCCGATCTATTCGTTTATCTCTTGATTTGATAAAACGTTTCTTACTTTTCTTGTGTAGATATCCAGAACCGTTTCCGGCATTTCCATGTTCATAAAATGACGAATCTTCATTATTCAATATAAGACCTTGAAACTATGTGAATATTGTATATCCGAGCCCTCTCACTTAGCAATGCATAGCGGGTCGACATAGAAGTTACGAAGCCGAGCTAATACATAGAGAACCTGCAATGTTGTTTGGTTCGGCACTCTCCAGCGACTGAACGAAGAAACATGGAGCATGAAAGTGACGGCTGCATTTTTTAATTGTGTGCTATTACTTTGTTTGGGTTGCATAGCCTTGCGTCTGAAGCAAGAAATGCTGGGCACCGCGGAAGCTACGGCCTTTGCTGGCAAATCGGAACAACGAAGTGATGCGATACGTGACTATGTATCACCGGAATGCGCTTTTACTGCGAAGACGTATCACGCTTTTCACTGCGTCATGCTCCAATATGTGCCCGTTTGGCTCGCACACGTAGCGAATATCGAAGCCGTCGGAACGCAATGTAGGGAGTGGCGTTCACCCTTTGCCAAGTTACAGCGAGATAGAGTATAACCATGTGCTTTCACTCTGCTGGCTATAGGAACAACCCATACAGCCAATAGGAACAGCGTCGACCAGCGGGCCGGTCAGCACCGCATCGCGCAACTGGCCGGCGATATAAGCGAACATAATTGCGTCCGCACAAAGCGCTTTAATATGTGATCGTCGTCTGCTATGCTTAATTCGCTTAACTTTCATTAAGAGCGCAGCCGACGGTATGAATCGATCGGGCCAATCAAGCAGCTCTAAAAGCGCAACGTCACGGTGTTTGTTGTCTTTCTCTGTGTGTGTGATATTGTCGGGTATACAAAGCATGCACTCTGAATGTGAATGTGTCGTGACCTCGCGCTTTAGTATGTGTTCCTATGTTAGCATGTCATCATGCGTCTGACTGCACTCGGACCCACAATGAAACGAGGTTGTAGGCTTTCTGCTTACTGCACATAGGCCCTGCCCATTATCAGTTTATGGATTCATTCGTCTCGGGGGCGGGGGCTGTGTGCACTCAATGGAAGAGGCTAGCAGTTGACGCTCGCATATGAACATACTTTCATATTGAGCTTCCGGCTCAGCAACACTTCCTTTGATTTCTTTGCTCTCAAGACTCTGACTGACTGGTGAACACACTTTGAGCAAATGCGCCTATTCTGCCTCATGTCACCGCACTGCTCTTTGATACGGCGCTTACCTGCCTTCCAGTTGACGTTCGCATGCTATTATTAATTAAATTGGAGAGTTGTACAACAAAGACAAGCAATGAGTGTGTTTGAACATTTATAAAAAAAAACTACATACAGTAGCATAAGAAAAAATACATTACTTTGGAAGATGTTCTTCGCTGAAAATTCCATGAAGTGAAGCGGCCTGGTAAACTGCGGCAATAAAATAAAATGTTATCAGCTCATAAATAAAATTAAGCCGAACACTAGACATTGACTCATACTCTTTTTACCCTGAAGTAGTCAAAGCAACCAACCGTTTCCCATTTGAACCATATGTTTTCGTTTTCGTTTTTCTAGCATTCAGACGCCCGAGGTACCGAACAACACGAGCGGAATGCAATTTCCAATTAAGAAAAAGCGGAGTTTAATAATTTACATAGTTTAAACGTGTTTGTATACTTAGCGTTTTTGAGGTCGAGTCATAATAGCCCTGGGTGAAGAAGGGTCCAAAGCGATAACTGCAAAACGTAAAGCATATAAAGCCACATCAATTGAAATTTGTTTGTTTTATTTTTCTTCGAAAGCTTAGGGGTAGGGTTTTAAACTGGAAGACCAAAACATATATATGTCTAAATCACAAATTGGAGGAAACAGTGTGATGTTTATATACCTCTCATTATTTGGATATTTGCAGGCTGAAATTCTGAGCTCAGTTCAAGCGTTGTTTGCATAGAGCGACGCACTCATACCATACTTTGATCTCATTGCTTTTCGTGACCAGCTGTTTCGTTTGGAACTTCAGTCCGGTATTGTAGTTACCAAAGCACAAAGCTATACTTTGACTCACTAGTCGCGCGTAGCGTTATCAAAAGTGCAGGTGCCAGAATATAACATAAAAACACGAGCTATTAGCAACAAGAGGAAGTATGTAGGATATCTCCGTTTGCCCGCATTCTTTTTTGCGCTCTCCCACATTGGCGTTTATCTCTTCAAATATTAACCCGTCACTCGAAATTCGTGCCAAAGCGACCCTCTCTCCCACTCGTGGCTTTCACAGCACTACGAGCAACTAGTTAGTGTAAAAATACAACACTCAAAGTTAATTCTACTTTTAGACGTTTTACGTAAGCTTATACATGTGGCCGAGAATACGGTGTATGCTTATTTGCACATTGAATACAAAATGTTGATGGACTATATGAAAGCGTGATTAACAAAATGGGCGAAGCGGAAAGGACGTTGAGAGTTGTGCCTTTGGTATTTCACACGGCAAGGCAAACTGCTTTATTCTTCTTTTCAAATACTGCAGAGCAAAGCCTTCAACAATGTTTTTGTATTTCCATTCATGTAAAAAAAAAGGTAAAGCATTTGTGTGATAATTTGAAACATGTTTCCACATGAAAGTTGATACGGCGTCGACACACCTGTTGGGTTAATTCTAATAGGTATTTAAGTAATATATCGCTTATTCATAGCTTTACGTCTGCCAGCTTGCGCGCCGTATTAACATAAATATATGAAACTAAAATATTCATATGATCCATTTCCTGGAATTAAAAAAATGATTTAACTATATCGGAATAAGTGGCCTAGCACACAACAAAAAAGTTCAAGTATACTGCCTAATCCAACGTTATAATGTGATATTACTAATGTATTAAACCAAGTTGCCGCCTCCCATTCAATGATTTTGTTACATTTCTGTTATTTGTGAGAGCAGTGAGAGGTAATATTTTTTTTTTCCCGGTAAAAACGTTTACACACAAAAGTTATACTAATTCTTGAAAGCGGAAAACAGCAGACAACAAAGAATGTTACAATAAATGTTATTTCTAAATAAAAATTATCATAAGAAGTATAATTGTAAACAGCACTTTCCGCGTAGTAATGAATGGAGGTGTTAGGCTTGCTGTGATAGTGCGCATTGAGAAGGAAATAATGCTGCTTTAGTTTTAATGTAGCGCCAAGGCGAAGCTATTTAAAAAATAACAATTTTAATTCTTAAGAAGATTGTATTGCTAATGAATTACCTAGCTCTCAATATTCCTATTTTTTATTAATTGTGTTTTATTGTGGTGGAAACTATTTAAATTTAAAGTATATTTAAGTGTATTTTGTAAAGTTAAGACTCTACAGAGCTTACTTGAATGAATAATAGCTAGCAGAATGAGCAAAAACAAACGCGCCAGAAATGCAACACCCGAACACCATATGCTTCAGAGTGTTTTATGATGAATTAAATAATTCATATTGTATTCCGTGATACAGAAGTAAAAACACAAAACGAAAACAGAAGTTAAAAAAAATTCAGTAGAGCACAAAGGTTATACAATTTTACTGCTCGAAAACTTTATATTTTAATTAATATGGTGTGTGTGCACAATATTTCGCTTCAATTAGCCCTCCTTATATTCATGCATGTGTGTTTACTTCGTACATTTATCAATTCGTACGAAAAGTCTTCTTCTATCGCCCTTTAATCTGCATTTGAGTAAATTAACGTTGTCCAATAAAATAATAATAATACTCTCAGAAGGAACGTTTATTTTCTAATTATATTAATTATAATATAATATTTTTAGAACGCTCTTTACAAAAATGGAGATATTAATGTTAATCGCGCACATATATAATTCATTGGCGCATTATTCGACAATGTTGGAATAATCAACACACTTTTATAAAAATGCAGACAGTTAAGATTGACATGCGCATATTCAAGAAGTAGTGACTAAAATGTTATTTTGCGTTCAAGGGGGGTTTATGAAAAGCAACTAGTGGTGTTTCACTTTTACAAGTTTAGTTGTTTCTATTACTCACTTCAGCGGGTCAGAACAAGGTCGTCATAACGATCAATAAAATGTAACTCAAGTTATTTATTTTTTCTAGCATTTTATGGTTATAAAATGTAGTTACTCACTCAAACTCTTCCTCATTAGTCTGTAGACTTTGCATTCTCTTCAATTCAAGGTTTCTACGAAGCATGCTGTGTATTGTTATAAAGGGCGTCTGGGGCGTTATATTCACTCTGTCAACCTTGTAACAAGTTCAGAAACACGTTTGTAAAAACGCAATATTACATGATAAAAAAAAAACATTTTGGCCTATGGAATGCGAGGAAATGTGGTAAGGCATTCTACATCGATATATCACCAGACAACCATTTCAGTCTGTATGTTACACTCTCCTAACAGCTTTCTGAAAGTCAAATGTTACTAACTTTGTACAAGCCGTGGAACTGTAAAAAATAACCTTTAAATAATAAATGAAGTACGACAGAACTATCAAGTTCAGGCAATTTTGTTATATTTTGAGAAATCACGCCTTTCCTTCACCTATTCATCTCTTAAGGATATTTAAAAATGTCCCTTTTTATAAATCGGTCATACGGAACAAGTGGAATATATATATATTGTTCCTTATGGTATCACTTAATCATTTTATTTATGACCTTTAAGCCAACGCTTGCCAAAAAGCTGCAAGAGGCAGCTTCACGTTGTCTGGGACCCGTCTCAAACTACACAGCCGGATATTCATTGTAGGACACAAAGGCAAACAGCACAAAAAAGATACTCTGAATAATCTAATAATAAATATTTAAATAATTAAGATCGCACACATTTAACTTCTAGCAGAATTATAGAAAGTAAAGCAATAAAAGGCCGTGGATATAATTTTGACATTACGATAGGACTTTATGCGAAGAGAACATTAAAAATTGTATGCACACAACTTGCGACACCGCAAATCTGCACTGCACTGAATAAATGGTGTGTGTCAACAGAGGCGGCAAACTACTTCATTACGCATTATTTTAACGCAACAGGGGAGTTTTCGTTATAGGCAACGAAAAAGGCGGAAATCGTCCCACTGGCCAAAAATACGTGTGTAAAGGTGCGAATCATATTCATATAAAAGTGCCAAAAACGCCCTCTGATTATTATTTACAAAAAAGACTCGAAAAGGCGGTAGCTTAGGTATTGCCCTCGTTTTGGTGGGCAATAAGCACTCTCTGATACGATTGCGAACACACCGTCGATGTATTGCGAGACATATACTTTACTATTGCATTTGTTTTGATCGAGTTGCCTGTTTTTTTAGTCAAAGCCGTCCTGCTACTATGCTTGTTTGACATCCGTGATCATTGATATAATTTTCGCATTGCTATTCTTTTTTTTTTTTTGCACCCATTTCGACCTTTTCAATTCTTTATTGTGCTTTGATTGGTTATAGCGCTTCCAAAAAAGCACAGATACGTTTCGCGTACTTTTTTTTTCCATTTTCCACATTCCTATTTTATGTTTTTCCTCAATAGCAACCGATCAATTTCCTCTTTTCTTAGCTCTCCTCCTACTCAAGGTACAAAATAAGAAGTTACTTCATCCCTATAGCGTACGCATTATGAATATCAGCCTTTGCTCCTAAAGGTTACGGGTACCATCATAGGGATTGTAATATGATACATGTCCCAATGCGCGAACGTCAGGCATAGACGCACCCCCCTCCCCTAAATATAAAAAAGAAGATACTTATAGATATTTAAGTTACGAAATTACATAGCAACCTTGAACTTTTAGGATTTACGATACAATGACACATAACGTAATGTTCAGTAAGGTTAACTTACGAAAGTGTAAAGTGTATTCAAGTATGTCATGTTGACAAAGAAATCGTCATAACCGATTCTGTATTTGACCTCTCTCAGCTGAAAGGAAAGAAATAATATGCATCATTGTCTAATATCTTTTTTTTTAAGTTAAATAATCTAATCTGTTCTTCTTACCCTATCAAGGGCTTTATTCATCGCTTTCTGATCCATCCATTCGTTCTTTTCGATTAGGTTTACCAATGCCTCAACGATGTGGCTGATCATTACAAATGCCTGCAAATATAATTTTTGTTCAGTGACTGGTTTTATATGCACCTTACAAGGATTTCGAAAGACGTTCGGGAACACAGAATGCCTTCCTAAGGAATATGTTGTTTTCATCAAGATGTTACCCGTGTTAATGTTTCTGTGTGTGTGCGCGTGCGTGCACGTGTGTGCGTGTTTATACCAGTGCATTTATGTGTATGTTGGTGTGGGTGGGAATGGTGTCTTTGTGTGTATGCTTGTGTGCGTGCGTTTGTTGTGCTTTAGTGTTTTCTTGAAGGCTTTGTTAGAACCGCATGAACACCAAAATGATCTCAGAATGTTTAAAGAAAATTAAAATAATCTTTGGTGTTTTTAGGAGGAGCGTCACACCCACAAAAATAAATCATATGTATCCCCTCACAACATTAGTTGTTGGCCCATTGAACCAGGGAGTAGGGAATGACAGTATTGACAAAATGTACCGATATTTATTAGGAACGTGGCGGCATAGAAAATATGTAAGTCAGTTTTACGTTTACTAGTTGATCATTTTATATTCAGAGTTGCTAAAGAGGAGTAATTATTAATCGCATATTTGTTTCCCTAACGGTGCAAACTCTAACATTTGCAACCCGCGGCTGAAATTCGCCAAAGGGTCGAAATAAATATTTTATTGACGCGTAAAAACCAGAATAAAAAGTAGCAAGACGGGAATGCTCGGCTAGTTGGAGTATTAGTAAAGGGTTGAAACACCACTGCACTCCCTTCCCTCTGAAAAAAAAAAATAAATAAATAAAAAAATTGACCAATATGAAAAGAAACAAACAAAGAAACAAACAAACACAGAATTTATTGCGGTATAAAAAAAACTTGCACTAAAAATTGATCCGCACAGATAAAAAAACTATAATTAAAATAAGCCAGCAATGTCATAAAACATATTTTCTAGATATGCATATTTTTTTAGCGCTGGCGTATGTACACTAAACCAAGTAAAGACGCCAAACGACTTTAAGAACATATTCTAGGTCTCTCTCGCTCTATTGCCTTCTCGTTGAAAGGCCCTAAGACGAATATGGCTCTCCTAGTAAGGGTTTTCCTACAACCGACCCAGCAGACCTATAAATGTAAAAGACACAACTTGAGTCGCTTCGTACAAATTTTGTTTCTAATCCGTTATTATTATTATTATTATTATTATTATTATTATTATTTTGTTCGCGTTTAAATTCATTTTTTGAATCAAGCATTCGACTCGGACAAATTTCTTGCGGTCAAAAAAAAATTATATTTCTTTACTCGTTGTGGTATAGAGTTCAACAACTTAATTTGTTGAATGGCCAACCGATAAGTGCGAAAGAAGTGAATCCGAGAAATTATCTCAGGCAAAAACGTTGCCTTACGTTAGTCGTCCAGGGTACAAAATCCCAGCTTGGTGTGCGGGAAAACTAAATTATAGGATGTCTTGAAGTATGTGAAAGCCGTTCCTTTCTTTTTGTGAATCTAAAGGAATTGGAGTGTTTCTAAATTGGTTATAAAAATAAAGACAAGGAATGAGGATTATTAGCTTTTTTTTCATTTCCTATAAAATTTAGAAAGCCTATTGTTTCATTTTATGATGAACTGCTGAAAGATTCAAACATTTTTCTTCGAAAAATGCATAGGATTTAAAAGCTCAGAAGCTGTAATATTCCACAAACGCGTTACAAACTACTTATCTGCTTCTTATTTGTCCCAAAACAGACCTTATGCGCATACTTTATTCGCTCGCGTAGTCTCCTGTTTCTAACGCTGCCTTGTGCTTATTTCCGCATACCAACTTTTTCGTCATGACGTCAGACGTAGGTGTGTGTGGAGAATTTTATGAGAACTCCCTTTAAGCCTGCTAAGAAACGCCGAGGACTATTGACCACAAAAGCCAATATTAGAATATTAGGCTTCTCCTATCCTTAAATTTTATATCTGTATCTCGTGAACCTTTTGGTTTCTGTTGCAGCAGCTGAAATTGCTTTTTATTTAGAAAATGTTGTCATGAGGAGATAAAAAATTAAAGATTCAGCATCGGAATGGTTCGCACCTCAATAAGTGAAGGCTCTAAAAAAAAAACAGTTGCTTGTGAATGTAGTTCGTGTTCTTTAAGTAAGCATAATTATGCGTTTTATTCGATGATTATTTAGCGAAATTCGCACAGGGGCCATGCCGCAGAGTGGGTGACACAATTCAAAGAATATGTTAAGTGAGTTACGGTATGAGACTTGACGAAGCTGCATGGCGCTTCGTTTGTCACCATGCGTGTCAAGCCTTGCGCAAAAAAATGCACAGCCGTCGGCCTAGCTGGCTCAAACATGCGTGTCATATGTTGCTCAACAACATGCGCCCATACATGGCGAACGTGGTCATAAAGCTTATACATCATTACACCAATAACGCTGGATTTTTTATGAACAAGATCCGTTAGACAGATTTGAAGAAACCGCCGTTCATCTGCAAAAGCAGATCGTACGAGTTCACGTTTTTGTTGTTTGGTCTTTCTAAATTGTCTCTGAGGTTTGGACGTTTATAGACCTTGCACTTGGTGACGACAAATACAAATATTCAATGGCATCCATAGATTAGGTTGCCACCTTCTACAACGGCCGCTGTTAGTGCTCTTTTCGGAAGATATCAGGCGGCGTCCGTACGCCAAAACCCACGCCATTGTGAAGATTCTCCCCATTGCCGTCACCGCACGCACAACGGCGTCGTATTTCCAAAGGCGCAGAAACGTCCCGTCTCTCTCTCTCTCTCCCCCCCCTCCCCCCTCCTTGCCGCTACCGCTTCGTGGTTCGGGATGGGTCCTCCGGTGTGACTGTACGGCGCTCGCTCATTTCTCCTCCTCTCCTGCCCCAACACAGCAATTTTTCGCAGGTCTCTTTGCAAGGAGTGAGAGTGTCAAGTTCGTCGCGCTGAGAGCATTAGCGGCACGAGAAAAAGGAAATGGCGCAGGACCGCGGCTCTCACGCAGCAGATGCAGCGCTTAAGCGCCTTTCCCAGATCTAACGCCCATCTCCTTCAACTATTCCACCAGAAACAAACCTCCTAAAGAAAATATACTAAAGTACGTAGACTTAAAGTGAATCTCCCAAAGCACATCTTTCAGCAACGCAACAGCTGCCGCCGTCAATAGCAGCATACATTGCGCTATCGTGTGCAATATTTTAAAGCTTTACAAGCTCCATCTTGAATTTCGGATCATGGTGCTTTAGCAGATACGTAATGATGGTTTCCGAATACATCCTTGCAAGTCTCAGCTGACCGCTTCTAAGATCAAGCTGCTAGAGTTTGTCTTCGGAGTAGGCTCATTGTGTAGTGTATATTCGGACAGAGTCGAGGCCGCAACTGCTTAAAATAACCGCTATGAAACAGTTACGATATCATGTAACCTTGGCGCACAATAGTGCCGCGCGGGCAGCTGGCCAAGTAGGCAGCGCGGGGCTCCGCATGGCGATCCTCAGTCAGTTTTAGCCCCAGCGTTCGACTCTCCTGTCACGCCGCCTTCGACGCCCGCAACGCTCTGCATTCTTCTGCTCCCTTTTTTTCTATTTTTGTGCAGAAGTTCGCCCCATTAAACGTTTAGTTTCTTCAGTTATTATCGCCTCTTCAATTGTCATTCGTAACAATAGCATAATAACAATACTGTTCAATACAGACATCTGGGTGACTGCGTCACATTATTTTGATGAAAAGTCACGCGTCACTGCATTGCATTTTTCCTTAAAGTGGAACAGTTCTGCAACAAATAACTGGATGTAGTGGTCATGTGGACCTCCGTGTTCGCTGCTGGCTTCAACGTTGACGGCCCAGCTTATGGTACTGCTCTCTCCATAGTCGGGATGCTTGCGCTGGCGATCCTTCGCCTGGGGAAACACTTGGTGTTAGCCTAAAGCTGTAGTCGACGTCAGTGTAATAAAGTTTGTCATCCTAATTAAACGAGGCCTTCTTGAAATGATCACGCTGGCTGCGATGAACCTATCGATTACCCAGCTATTCCTTACAGAGAGCTGGTCCCGTCACTCCTTTGCCTTGCAACCTAGTCCCGGTGAGGGGTACCGGATAAAGACGGTGTCGAACATGTAGAACCTTCTAACTCTCAGTAGATTCGCTTTTGAATTGGGAGGTCAGAATGTAGTCTGCTCTCGGAAGACCCTATTGTCCGGGACATTACCAGTTCTCCGTGAGTCTTTGTAGTTTCTCAGAAAGATATGCTGTGCAAAAACGTGAAATCATGCAGTGCGCGTCTTGCCTTAGCTTAGTTACACCTACAAATATTTCTGACGTGCCAGCGCTTCCGGGATAATATGGAGTTGTGTATACAAAATAAAGGACGTTAAGTCTATAACTATATTTGATGTGGCTTTTGAAAGCCCTTTTATTACCGGAAGCAATTACACCTGGCACACCAAGAGTGGCGAACAGCTTCCTTACCTTCATGATCATGGCGGCAGATATTGTGAACGCCATGATCTCTACCTTGTCCCAGATAGAAAATATAACCACCCCAAAAGGAAACTCTTCCCTCCTACAGTTCCCGCAAAGTTATGCGCACGTGGTTTCGGGGCTGTTCTGGCTTTATCCAAACGTGATCTGGTGCCTCGGGTCGATATGCCTGTTTTCTTGTCACTGTTAACAGCATTGTGGGCAACCTTCCGATTCTTCATCAACTTTGGGCCAGCAAAAGTCCGCCCTAGCCGACGTTTGATTGCAGTAATTTTTAGATGGTTGACGTGTAGAAACTGCACTACATTTCTTGTAGATGAATCATGAACAAACACTCTATTGCCCCACAAATTACAGTCTCTATGCAGAAAAGGTGTTGTGCGCCTCACCTCAAAAGGTGAAAACGTTTCTCCATGTATTTCCTGTGCTCACCCGGAAAGTATCTATAGCATGACCTTTCCTAGCGGGGGGTCTTGATTGGTCAGCTTGGTAATATCTACCTGTTTCAGATGTGGATACTTGACGGCTTCATAGAGAGTACATCACCAGGT